CCTCATTTGATTCTACAACTATTGTGTTCGCTCATTTGATTCTTCAACTACTGTGTTGCCTTGATTGACTCTTAAACAATTGTGTTGCCTCAACTTACTCTACATCTATGGTGTTGCCTTAATTGACTCTACAACTATTGTGTTGCCTTTATTGACTCTACAACTATTGTGTTGCCATAATTGAGTCTAAAACTATTTTGTTGCCTCAACATACTCTACAACTATGAATTGCCTTAATTGACCCTACAGAATTGTGTTTGCTCTATTGCCTCTACAACTATTGTTTTTTTCTCAATTGATTTTTCAACTTTTGTGTTGCCCTAATTGACTCTACAACTATTGCGACGTCTCAATGGAGTCTGAAACTATTGTGTTGGCTCATTTTACTTCTAGACTATCATATTGCCTCATTTGACTCTTTACTCATTGTTTCGGTTGAGGTGACTCTTCAACTATTGAGTTGCCTCAATTGACTCTTCAACTATAGTGTTGCCTAAATTGACTCTTCAACTATGGGGTTGCCTAAATTGACTCTTCAACTATTGTGTTGCCGAAATTGACTCTACAGTTATTGTTTTGCCTCAATCGACTCTTTAACTACTATGTTGCCTTAATTGACTCAAAAACTATTGTGTTGCCTCAACTTACTCTACAACTATGGTGTTGCCTAAATTGATTCTAAAACTGTTGTGTTGCCACAACTTACTCTACAACTATTGAGTTGCCTCAATTGACTCTTCAACTATTGTGTTGCCTCATTTGATTCTTCAACTATTGTGTTGCCTCGTTTGATTCTACAACTATTGTGTGCCTTAATTGACTATAAATCTATTGTGTTGCCTCATTTGATTCTTCGACTACTGTGTTGCCTTTATTGACTCTTAAACTATTTAGTTGCCTCAACTTACTCTGCAACTATTGTGTTGCCTCATTTGACTCTTCAACTATTGTGTTGCCTCATTTGATTCTTCAACTATTGTGTTGCCTCGTTTGATTCTACAACTATTGTGTTGCTTAATTGACTGTAAATCTATTGTGTTGCCTCATTTGATTCTTCGACTACTGTGTTGCCTTAATTGACTCTAAAACTATTGTGTTGCCTCAACTTACTCTACGACTATGGTGTTGCCTTAATTGACTCTACAACTATTGTGTTGCCTCATTTGATTCTTCGACTACTGTGTTGCCTTAATTGACTCTAAAACTATTGTGTTGCCTCAACTTACTCTACAACTATGGTGTTGCCTTAATTGACTCTACAACTATTGTGTTGCCTCAACATACTCTACAACTATGTGTTGCCTTAAGTGACCCTACAATATTGTGTTGGCTCTATTGCCTCTACAACTATTGTGTCGCCTCAATTGACTCTACAACTATTGTGTTACCTTAATTGACTCTACAACTATTGTGTTGCCGTAATTGACTCTAAAACTATTGTGTTGACTCATTTGATTCTTCGACAACTGTGTTGCCTTAATTGACTCTAAAACTATTGTGTTGCCTCAACTTACTCTACAACTATTGTGTTGCCTTAATTGACTCTTCAACTATTGTGTTGCCTCATTTGATTATTCAACAATTGTGTTGCCTCGTTTGATTCTACAACTATTGTGTTGCCTTAATTGACTATAAATCTATTGTGTTGCCTCATTTGATTCTTCGAATACTGTGTTGCCTTAATTGACTCTAAAACTATTGTGTTGCCTCAACTTACTCTACAACTATTGTGTTGCCTTAATTGACTATAAAACTATTGTGTTGCCTCATTTGATTCTTCAACAATTGTGTTGCCTCGTTTGATTCTACAACTATTGTGTTGCCTCAATTGACTATAAATCTATTGTGTTGCCTCATTTGATTCTTCGAATACTGTGTTGCCTTAATTGACTCTAAAACTATTGTGTTGCCTCAACTTACTCTACAACTATGGTGTTGCCTTAATTGACTCTTCAGCTATTGTGTTGCCTTAATTGACTCTACAACTATTGTGCTGCCTTATTTGACCCTACAATATTGTGTTGGCTCTATTGCCTCTACAACTATTGTGTCGCCTCAATTGACCCTACAACTATTGTGTTGCCACAATTGTCTCAACTATTGTGTTGCCTCAACTTACTCTACAACTATGTGTTGCCTCAATTGTCTCAACTATTGTGTTTGCTCTATTGCCTTTACAACTATTGTTTTTTCTCAATTGATTTTTGAACTATTTTGTTGCCCTAATTGACTCTACAACTATTGTGACGTCTCAATGGAGTCTTAAACTATTGTGTTGCCTCATTGACTTCTAGACTATTATATTGCCTCATTTGATTCTTCAACTATTGTGTTGCCTCAATTGACTTTACAACTATTGTGCTGCCTTAATTGACTCTAAAACAATTATTTCGCCTCAATTGACCCTACAACTATAGTTTTACCTAAATCGGCTCTTTAACTACTTAGTTGCCTCAATTGACTCTTCAACTATTGTGTTGCCTCGTTTGATTCTACAACTGTTGTGTTGCCTTAATTGACTCTACAACTATTGTGTGACCTTAATTTACTCTTCAACTATTGTGTCGCCTCATTTGATTCTTCAACTATTGTTTTGCCTTACTTGACTCTACAACTATTGTGTTGCCTTAATTGACTATAAATCTATGTGTTGCCTCATTTGATTCTTCGACTACTGTGTTGCCTTAATTGACTCTAAAACTATTGTGTTGCCTCAACTTACTCTACAACTATGGTAGTGCCTTAATTGACTCTACAACTATTGTGTTGCCTTAATTGATTTTTGAACTATTTTGTTGCCCTTATTGACTCTACAACTATTGTGACGTCTCAATGGAGTCTTAAACTATTGTGTTGCCCCATTTTACTTCTAGACTCTCATATTGCCTCATTTGACTCTTGAATCATTGTTTCGACTGAATTGACTCTTCAACTATTGTGTTGCCTCAATTGACTCTACAACTATTGTGTTGCCTCAACTTACTCTTCAGCTATTGTGTTGCCTTAATTGACTCTTAAACTATTGTGTTGCCTCAACTTACTCTTCAACTATTGTGTTGCCTTAATTGACTCTAAAACTATTGTGTTGCCTTAACTTACTCTTCAGCTACATTTACTGTGTTGCCTTAATTGACTCTTAAACTATTGTGTTGCCTCAACTTACTCTTCAACTATTGTGTTGCCTTAATTGACGCTAAAACTATTGTGTTGCCTCAACTTACTCTTCAACTATTGTTTTGGCTCTATTGCCTCCACAACTAATTATTTTTTTTCAATTGAAAAGTACTGTCTGTATCTACTAGTTGCATCCATTCTTTAAGAATTGTGTTGCCTGCACACATGATTTACAGCTATTATGTTGTCTCTGTTTACGGTTTTAGATCTATTGTGTTGTCGCAATTGCCTCGATACAACTATTGTGTTACCTTAATTGACTCTTGCATATTACTGTGATGCCTTTACTGATAATTGTGTTGTCTCAACTGACTCTACAACTAGTGGACTAGTCTCCATTGTCCTTAAAACTGTTGACTCTCTTCAACTATTTTGTTGTCTTCTTTGACTTAACATCAGCTATATCCTGTTGCAATAATTCACTTTTTTAACAAACGTTTTGTTTTCCTGATATCTGTGTAACGGTATAGGTATTCAAGATAGTGTTCTTGATAATCTGTTATATATTTTGCTGCTATATAATATAGGTATGTTTATTTTTAATTAAAGATGAAATACGCACAACCAGGGGCGTAGATAGCCCTCGTTTGGAGCGTATTCATATGCGAGCGAGTCCAGGGCAGGGGCTTGCATATTTATTTTTGATAGGTGGACAAGAAGGTGCAACAAGCATTTTTGTGTGTGTTTTTTTACTGGTTGAACATTTGGATTCACCTGTGTACCGGCATATAGGCAGCTACGCGCCTGACAACGACAGGTGGATTTGTATTTCTGTCACAAATGACAATTACATAAGTTTCTTTGAAACCATCGATCTCCATTTTCGAACCTCTGGAACGAAGCCTGACCGTGTGCGAGAAGTGATTGATTTGTATATGATGGTGGTTGTCAGTTGTTGGCCCGAGTCACCGCGAGGCCGTGAGCCCCATCACTCAGAAAGTGATGCAATCGAGTATAATGCACGTAGGCTGAGGACTAGCAGCAACCTCGTGGACCTGTACCAAGACTGGGATACGCTTTCGATGCTATTTGATATTTCTATGTTTTCTTTCTTCAGTGATATATTTTTCTTTAAATTTGTTTCTGAACTTTAGTACTACGAATCATTTCATCGTGAGTTATGCTTATATATACTACAGCTAATTTGATTGCTATCATTACGCGCTTGAACTACTTTATGTTGAAAACACATAAGCATCTTTAAAAATAAATATTGAATGTAGGTCTCCGATAGAATGTCAATTTTACCATTTTCTCTGTAAATATAATGTACATCATCATGAAACTATCTTCCATGCGTGTTTGCAAGCTACTTTAAACAGACGTGACTTCGGTGGATACTGTAAAAGATTGACTTCCGCCCTGTCTCCCGATCAACCGAGAGTGGCTGTGTGTGATGGATCGCTTTATGATAAATCAGATCTGTATGTATTTGCACAATCTATTAATCGTATGCTACGTAGCATGCTTAAGCCACATTGATTCCGATCAAGATTTTTTTTGGGAGAGAATTTGATAAATTGCTGTCTAGTTTAATTTGAGTCGATTGCGAAATGTTATTAATGTGTATGCAGGAAAATTTGCTCTGTTGGCACACTTCTTGACTTGTACGTCAAGAAATGGAGATTTTGCCTTGGTTTTCGGTTGTGTAATAGTAACAAGAGCTGCATCCAGGTTAACCAATAACTGTAACGAGAGTGTGTAACATCGAACATTCTCTTGGGGAACAACCGCTATTTTCGGGGTAATACACAGCTATCCACGCGGGTAATAGGGACATTAATTCTGCAAGGACGATACCCAGAACTAGAATCAAACAAGGATCAGATATTGTCACATTTTATTTCAAATCTGATATATTCTCGAAATGACGAATATTGAAAAACAAACTGAGTATTAAACAAAACAAAAGCATGAATTTTGTAAACGATGAACCAAGTAATGATATATAGCGAGGAAATAATGATTCCGACTTCTGATTATCACATCAAAGCTAAACATCGTCAAGTTTGCGCATGAGCAGGGCCATATCCGCTGACCAGCAGTCGGACATGTGACCTCTTTGAAGTCATCGTTTAAGCATATGATTAATAAGATCGGTACTGCTTTCATATGCAATAAAGTGTAAATATTGTTATTCTTCCGGAAGTTGGTACTACACTCTGTCTGCGCATGACACTGTAAAGCTAGACGTGGAAGCTGTATATTTCTGATGCGCCCGCTGATAAGAAAACCTCTGTTTTGGACAACAGCAGAATAGGACCTTTCCGAATGCACGTCTGAAATCCCTCATAGACAGTGCGTATATCACAGGGTTCATACCGGAATTAATGTAACCAAGCCAGGTAAACATGGGGAAAAGTAGTTCCGGATACACAAGACAACTCATACCGCATATGCCTTGTAATACATTAAAAACAAAAAACGGAAGCCAGCATATAATGAAAACACCCACTACAATTCCTAAAGTCTTCGCTGCCTTTTGCTCGCGTGCAAGTTTAGTCAATTTTTTACTTAATGCGAACTGTCGGAGCCTCTTTGTTATAAACTTTGCCGGTCTATGATGGTGTGCACCATTAGACGCATGCGTGTGGGGTAAGCTTAATTTAGCATCTTGTGACGTCAGAGCAGTACTGTCACTATCCATGCATCTTTCACATGACTGGGAGTAATCCTCATGCACAGCGCGTCTATAATGGTCCTCGTGACCATTCCGCGGCGAATTCGTCCCGCCTCGATGCATTCTCAAGGTCATTATTTCTCTGTTGCCATGACTACCATTTGACGTCAACACTTTACTCCCAACCTTTAAACTCCTTATTTGTTCCGCTGCGGCAAGGTATATCCGTAGATAGACGAACATCATAATGAACGTTGGGCAATAAAAAGACACAATGGAAGAGAATATCAAGTAGGCACTGTCCTCTGTAAACATGCACACTTGCGAAGGGAGATTACTCGGGGTAACTGCCTTCCACCAGGCAATTGCTGGGAACGATATTCCAGCAGAACATAACCACACAAACGCTATAAGTAGGCCCACCTTGCATTGAGACATCTTTGCCGTATATGCTATAGGGTCCGTGATGGCCCAGTACCGATCAAGCGAAATCACGCACAGATTCAAAATGGATGCCGTACTCGCCAGGACGTCAAATGAATGCCAGAGGTCGCACCATTCCTCGCCGTAAGGCCACATCTGATTGGTTATTTCCAAACTTATGCTGAACGGCATCACGATTCCGCCTACCATTAGGTCGGCAAGAGCGAGAGAAACTATGAAATAATTGGTCACCGTTCTTAAATACATCTCCTTAAAAACAGCGACGATCACCAGAATATTTCCAACAATGGTCACCACTGAAAACAGAGACAACACTATCCCAATGATGGGACGTTTTATTTCATAGTCGCCATCAGTGGCATTGGTAAAATTTGCCCAATCGCTTCCATTGTATGCTGTTTCATTGATGACCGGCAGTCCATTGTTAGCAATCGTGTGATTGGTGGAGTTTGAAAACGCGTTGTAAAATGCAATATGATTGGGTACTGCAGTCGACATGAATGAAGGTATCCTTGGTAATATTGATAAAACTGCCACGGTTATGACGCAACTGTTGTAAAGACGACAGAGCTGTCGTGTTGTTAGATCTCTGACGAGTACTCCACGCAGCCCACTCTCGTTGGAACGACGAGATTTCGGGGGATGTTCATAGTTACAGGTATAATAGAGAGGAACCGCTTGATCTGAGTCACATTTGAAAAACAGCCTCTCCCGGTGAATCATATCAAGCTCCTAGATTCAGGATAAAACACTCAGAGCTCAAGTAAATCCACCTCCTACGGTAAAGCACAAAAGCACACTCAAATGTTAATGTTGTATATCCCATTTCATTTTAAGATCAGTTTCACTTTGTATGTATGACAATTAACCCCACAACGCTATAATCAATCATTCTTAAAAGTAAACCTTTTCTATTATCCGTGAAAGAAATAATCCACATATTTTGATAACCATGACAATATCCCACGTGGTGGTGGTCAATACCATATACACGATCTGGCACTCGTAGCTTTGGATGACGTGTGATTCGTTTTGTGCAAGTTATCAACAGGGAACGTTTCCTCGTTCATCTGTACGGAATATGAAACCGACTCCGATTCCCTTTATTAGAAATCCATGTAAAACCTGCTGTGCCCACGAACTGGTGCCGGATTGAATACCTGGAACATAAAATGGAAAACAGAAATCAGTCAAAAGAAAAGTTAGCACAGAAAAGGTGCTTATTTCACTTAATACATGTATATGATACACTGTAAGATTTTTTTTACCTAAAACATTGAACCTTGAGAAGGATTTGTGATCCGGCGAGTCAGTTACAAGTCTTTTACTGTTCAGTTCTGGCACAGTTTTGATTTTCAGAAATACATTTTTTTTTGTGTTAGCTTCATTTGATTAAAGAATGTTAACATACCAATCACATCATAGTTTCTACGATGTTTTAATTGGTAACCCAATAACCCCGACCTCTTCTTGACCGCTTTAACTTTTAAACATTTTAAAGTACTGATCGATACTGTTCGTTGGTTGTGGAGCTCACCACAAATATCAGATACATGTAGCACAACTCTTTCCTACATTCTCATTGGTTGGATCGTAATCACGTGACAGTCGGAGATTTGTGATAAGGATATGACCCTCTTTTTGTGACGTCACTTCACTAGTAACGTCCGAATGCTCTCTGCAAAATGCAGTACTTTTCTTTGACAGATTTTCTTACGTTCCATCTTGTTTAATACACGTAAAACAACATAATGTTATCTCTAATATACACAATTAAAGACTTTTGTTTCGGTAATGATGTAGTTATATGGACATGAACAATTCTATTAACATCAACTTCGTCTCGGTTGCTATATCTTCGTCGGGTTCATATAACCCACATAATATCCACCTCAAGAAAAGTCAATAATTGATAAGTGTTTACACATTCTTACTTATCAGCCCACTGTATTTTCCCGCAACTATAGTAAGAATGGTAATATGTTTGTACTTACTAATGGCAGTCATTCAGGTGTGTATATATAATATACAATGTATGTCTGCTTTATAGTACGATGGTTTACGCATAATGATGTCACCTTCTCTGTATAGAGTATCCTGAGGGTCTTACTTAACAGAGAGCTGCTTTGAAAATCAAAGAAACAGTTTCGCATTGGTTCTACCATATCAGTATCTTTTATATTATGTAACAAAATTAGCATGTCAAATATAAGTATGGTGAAAGGCGTAAGTAATGTGTTTTCTACGCCAATGCCGATTGCTTCCCATTTACATGTTGGGGCGGTCGAACTGGTCAATTGCAGTATCAGCACATAGAGATCTATCAGAACTACTCCCGTTCCTTTTTATAGCCAATACAGTCTATCAGGTCTGCGCCGTTAAATGTCATCAATATGTTATGTTTCTATATAAAACCCACAAAACAATATAATGTTGCATTAACGACTTTCTTAGCAGCGCTAACGCAATGTTGTCTCTGCGGTCGGGCAGAAAACCCCCACATTAAAATGAATGCATAAGACACATAATGCCACCACATAGACAGCTTCCTGTGTAAAAACTAAACACCTTATTTTCAGAATCTTTCATATATCGTTCTTTCTTTCTATATATATATATATATTTCGTTTTTATTGATGATACAAGTTTACATAGCCGACAATATATCAAATTGAGGTGCGTTCTATTAGCAAATGGTGAGTAGTTTTACGTTATGGGTCTGTTCGATTGTTACGATATGAGTTTGCACATACTGTTGGCTCCATAAAGCTATACACTTATTATTACTAGACAGTGGACATGTATGCACTTAACACTCATGACGATTTTTAGATTATTAGACCGTAGATTCGGTGAATATGCAAGGACTAAACATGTATATGTATATAAATATACTTGTATTACATTATTTACTTAAACATTTCTCATTTAATCATTTAAATTCCTAAAATGCTTGATGATTTTTCCGGAATGGATATCATCCACTGTTCTTTTCTAATGGCAAGTTGATATATCCGGTGCGTGGTTCAATAAATAGAACACACAATATTATCATGGTCAAGTCGGCTCTTGAACAGGTGTAACAGTACCCTGAAAGGTACACTTTGGTGTTTTGGCTAATATTGGAGGATAAACAGTACATGTAAATAAAGGCAAAACATTACACAAACGTCAAATAGTTTAGAGGCAAAGGAGGTTCTGATTAAATATCTTCTCCAAACTAGCATTAGTTTTGAAAAAGTAGGTTTCTGGAAATGATATCAAAATAAATAGCGTTAGTTAGGTGGAAAGCGGAGGGGAAGAGTGAGGGGAAAAGCGCAGAGGGAGGTGAAAGCGGAGAGGGAGAGGGTGGAGAGAGTGAAGGGGAATGCGGAGGGGAAGAGGGAGGTAGAAAGCGAAGGGGAAGAAGAAGGTGGAAAGCGGAGGGGGAAAGGGAGGTGGAAAGCGGAGTGGAATAGAAAGGAGGGAAACGGAGGGGAATAGGGAGGGGGAAGCGAAGAGGGAGGGAGGGGAAAGCCGAGGGGAGAGTGAGGTGGAAAGCGGAGGGGAAAGGTGAGCGGGGAAGTGGAGAGGGAGGGGAAAGCGGAGGGGGAGAGGGTGGAGAGAGTGAAGGGGAATGCGGAGGGGAAGAGGGAGGTGGAAAGCGGAGGGGAAATGGGAGGGGAAAGCGGAGGGGGAGAGGGAGGGGGAAAGCGGAGGGGAAGAGGGAGGGGAAAGCGAAAGGGGGAGTGAGGTAGAAAGCGGAGGGGGAGAGGGAGGTGGAAATCGGAGTGGAATAGGGAGGAGGGAAACGGAGGGGGAGGGAGGGGAAAGTGGAGGGGGAGTTGGATGGAAAGCGAAGGGGAAGAGTGAGGGGAAAGCGGAGAGGGAGGTGAAAGCGGAGAGGGAGAGGTTGGAGAGAGTAAAGGGGAATGCGGAGGGGAAGAGGGAGGAAGAAAGCGGAGGGGAAAATGGAGGGGAAAGCGAAGGGGGAGACGGAGGGGGAAGAGGTAGGGGAAAGCGGAGGGGGAGAGGGAGGTGGAAAGCGGAGGGGAGGGGGAGGTGGAAAGCGGAGTGGAATAGAAAGGTTGGAAACGGTGGGGAATAGGGAGGGGGAAGCGAAGAGGGATGGAGGGGAAAGCCGAGGGGGAAAGTGAGGTGGAAAGCGGAGGGGAAGAGGGAGGGGAAAGCGGAGAGGGAGGGGGTAGCGGAGAGAGGGTAGGAAAGCGGATGGGGAGAGGAGGCTGGAAAGCGGAGTGGAATAGGGAGGAGGCAAACGGAGGGAAATAGGGAGGGGGAAGCGGAGAGGGAGGGAGGGGAAAGTGGAGTGGGGGAGTTAGGTGGAAAGCGGAGGGGAAGAGTGAGGGGGAAAGTGGAGAGAGAGATGAAAGCGGTGGGGGAGAGGGTGGAGAGAGTGAAGGGGAATGCGGAGGGGAGAGCGGAGAGACATGGAGGAGAAGTGAGGAGTAAGATGGAGACGGCATTCGATACACAAACAGCTTGCTGCTGTTATAGGATATAGCGTTCCTGATCATTTCAAATATACTTTTACGACAGGCAGATTTATTGCAGTGCGTGTAACGGTCCAACCACTTAGAATGAATTGCAATGGCAAACGTATACACAAAGTGGATTTAATGCCTTGGGAATAGCTGATTCTCAATTTGTTGTAAACCATCGTGAAATAAGATAAGAGACGTGTGTACGTGGTGGCGAGTTTTATCTATCTAGATTTACACCTCATTATAGTCAAACCGGTCTTATCGGTATCTTACGGTTTTACTAATACAGAATCGGAAACGAGCGTTCCGGAATCCACATTCTGATGCCTAACGCGATGTTAGATTGTACTTAGTGATTTTTATCAGATTGTTAACATGAGCAAAGTGACATATTGACCGTAGAATGAGACTTGGAGATAAGACAGACCTGACAAGTCAGATACATATACATGGAATCCTTATAGGTAGACAACGTTACAGACCGACTTCAGCAGTTTGTTCAAATAGTCCGTCAAACCGGAAGTACGATAAGACAAATTTATAGACAGATTATTATCGGGATCATATATCACCTTGTTTTCCTTGTCTCGAAGTAATTTTCACGAATAAAGTTCCCTGATAAGTTAAACAACAGCAATTCCATGTTTCGTTCCTTCTTTTGGGACAAGCAGTGCTTCTATTTGTTGATATGACCCTTGAGGCTTTTATCCTTCGTCCAGTATTATTCAATTCAATTAAATTAAAACTATAAAGTGTCAAACGAAACGTACAGAGTTACAATATATATCTTAACATATGTATTAACAGTTTTTATGCTTTTCCATATATTTTACGTGATTTGGTTCGCATCCTGATAATTTTACATAGCACGTGGAAAACCCATTTCACTTACCGCCGAGAAACACATTGTCTGGTGGAGATGACGTCGATCCTTATCAATTTACGAAAACATCGATTTTAATACAGTTCGCCTGGCTTCAGCCAGTTTTAAACATTTCTAACAAACAAAGATATATTTCCATGTAAACTGTATTTCTTATAAACAAAATCAGTTCAAGTTGCAGCGTCATGTAGTAGACAAATCCCAATAGACTTGATTACCTGCCTTAGTACGATTTATCTCCGCTAGGCTGCGCTCACTGATACTACCTGTAACTACGGAATGCAATCCAGTCTGAAGTGTCAAAAACACGTTAGACGTCAGTTTACATCGTGACGTAATTCACGTTGACATGCGTATTG